AAAATTCGCAAGCAGAGGCGTTCGTATCCCGAGGTATCACTGTATATATTATTTAAACAGAACAAGCTTAATCTGTGCTTTGGTTAGCATTGCTTGCTGCAAAAGGGGATAATTGGTGTGCATATGTATGTGGGTCACAAAATTCTTGGGGGATTCAAAATGCAAGCTTGAAAATCAGCCTTAGTTCAATCTTAGTTGAACTTCAGCCTTAATTGAACTTCTTAACCCCTATTCCCAACCCATCCTAGGCTAACTGATTCTACCTTGGTTTCTTTTCCCTTCAGATCAAGAGTTGTAGCAAAGACCCATTTGGGTGGATAAGGCAGCATCAGAAATCTCTTCACCAGACCAAGACCAATCCCCCGATCGGATCCTGTCACCAGAACGCTGAAGACAGAGAAGTCAGTTGCCTTTGACATCTCTTCGGGAGCTACAGCTTCCATCCTGCTTGATGGTTTGCTTCAAATGCCTCTTTTCACTGTAGGAGTCACTATTATGAGCTATTATGAGTTCCATATCACACACCCATCTTTCAATCTTCATACAGATGTCATTTAAATATTGCAGAAGGCAACACCGCTTCCTTTAATTGAAGGAGCTTTAATTGAAGGAGCAGTCAGGATAATAAGGGTGGAATATATACCGCCCTACAAATTATTTGTAGTTTTCATTTGCAACCTTAGCTTCAACATACTTTACATGGTTCTGCTACAACTGAATTCATTCCTGGAAAAAGGGTGGATAAACTTGCATTACCTTTAATGTCAAGATTTCTGATGCTCCTGCCAACTTCCCACAAGCAAAATTAATAGAAAAGCTGGCTACGAGTCGTTCCTGCTCCCACTGCTTTTTGCCCTTGGTCATTCTGTTTTCTGTTTAGGTAAGGAAATATCTCTGAAACGATGACCCAACAGATCACGGGTTGTCTAGTTCTTTCTATTTTTGAAGATTATTGTCTTTGCTGAACTCCGTTCGCAGTAAAGCTAAACCTCTTCTTAAAATGGCAAATTCTGTATCTTAAGAATACAATGGCCCTATTTCTTTCCAAGATTATATAAAGATATGCTGTACCTTGAATCCAGAAACAGCTATGGCTATGCCACACCAATTCATATGAGTTAAAGAACTTTCAAATTCCTTACAATGTCAACAGAAAGAAATGTGATAGCCAACCTTTTCTTAAACCTTCTTGGATGGATCTCATAAATACAAAGCAGTATTTACTGAGAAATTGACTGCATTCTTAAACCCTAGAAAGTATATTTTAGACTTCTTAGGATCTGGATCAATTGATTTTCCTAGATTGGATATTCCAATTCACCATTCCACAATTCAGGAATGTAACTAATTCTGACCTTCATCGTGGTTTTTAATTCCAAGTACAACTGTACTATTTTTTTTAATAGTATTTTATTGAGATTTTAAGATTACAAAGTTAAACGTTAGAAATGAAAAAGAAAATTGAAAATACAAATTA